ATAAGCGTCATTCTACGGTGAAAAAGCCCGTAAGTGAAAAGCCTTGCGATTACAAGGTCACTAACTGTGAAATTAGACATTTAACTTGAATAGGAGGCACCACGCTCCGTCGAGACTAGTTAAATCCCAAGTGACGATTACTTTCTGCTCTCCCGCAGTAGTCAGCACGACACCTGCTTAGTGAGGACATTGAAGAAGCAAATAGTTTTGAAGAAATCAGAAAAGTAGATAGCCCTGAAAAAATCGAAACTATTAATTGATCAAGAAATCAAATTTCCAAATAACCAAGATTCTGATGCATTAATATCTATTATCCAACCTATCAAAGTACCTAAAGAAGTTATCCAAAAAATGCTTCAAATGGACACTGCAGACCTAACAAAAATTCTTGGAGCCATTAAGGATGTATTTAAAGATATTCAACTGCCCAATCAAAGAATTGATGAATATCAAATACCATTTGTACCTGGAAGAGACAATCCACTGGCTTACCTCAAATTATTAGAAGCATGATTCTGCTTCAATGGCATGAAAATTTTTGAGCAAAGGAAAGATATTCTTCTCAGAATATATCAAGGAAAATGAAGGCTTGGTTGGAGAAACAACTTAGAAATAATGCATTCAGTGACAAGATTACTAATTGGGCTGAGGAAACTGACAATGTATTAGAAGATTCTTCTTTCAAAAAACAGTTTTGGAAAAATTTATGATGCTGCTCCTCCAACATAAAATGTGCCAACAATTAAAAAATTTTAATCCAAATGAGACAGTAGATGCATTTGTCAGCAGAATGCACCAATTGCACAAAAGTCTTGGAATAAACCCATCCAAAAACAAACTTGTCCAAGTATTGCTAGAAGGATTACCAGCAGAAATGCAAATGGCTATACTGCAAAATGGTCAGCCTGATGATTTAAAAGATGTGGTTGAAAAGGCACAAATGCTGAAGTTGTGTGAAACATGAGAATGCAAATAGAAAAACCCACTCTTAATATAGCAGTAGTTGAAACACTAGAATCATTGACTAAGAAATTAGTGGTCATGGAAGCAAAATTGACCAAACCTGTCAAAGAGAAAGTAATATATGTTACTCAAAACGAACAGCCAAAATACCAGCCCAACTGAAGACCATTAACATGCTATAGGTGTGGAATAGAAGGACACATTATCCAGAACTGTGAAAATGCATGCAAAGATTGCAAGAGAGAAAAAGGTCATGAAAGAGATTGTTTTAGCCTGTGAAATCATCAGCCAAAAAACTAGTATCCTTTCCTATGGAGGGTATAGGAAGACAGGATGAATTAAACCCCTCATCTGAAGAAGATTTGCTTAGTGCAAGATATCACTTATTTGGCATGAGGTGAATGAAAGAGAGTGAAATGGGTCCATACAATCACTCAGGAAAAGTCTTAGAAATTTTGGCAGAAATAGGCAAAAAGTAATCCTTGATACTGGTGCAGAAATTAATGTCATTGCAAGTCATATAGTACAGCTCAATGGATGGAAAGATCAGATTAAGAAGAATACAGAAAAATTTGTAGGAATAGGAGGCAAACCTACAGATGTGGATGGAGAAATAACATTATCAGTACAACTTACAAACAGAACAGTGCACAAAATGTTTGTAGTAATACCAGTGAGACACATAGTAGCCATATTAGATACCAGTCTTATGCTGAGACATGGAGTAAAAATTTCTTATAAGAAAAAACAGCCCTCAAGTCTGGTGGAGACCTAATCAGACTGGAAGACATATTGAAATATGGATTGAAAGAGAATTTCTTGTCTATTGAATTACTCAGTGATTAATGGAACTATCAGCAATACTTAATCTGTCAAGAAGAAGTAAACTGGTAACACAATTAATGAATGGACCAAGGCAGTAAATGAATACAATCCAAAGAGACATAAATGTACGATTTAATCCATTTCAAGAATAATATTGTGTAAAATCCAAACTCCAAAGGCTCATCACCTGAGGATAAGGGAATCAATATTGGGAATTGAAGCAAATCATGTGGTAATAGAAATAATTTGTGAAAATCTTGTTTTGATAATGTTATAAGAATTAACTCCAATACCTGACATCAGCCAGGGCCAACAATTTGCTGTGAAAGAGTATAAACTAAGAATTTATTCCCTTGCTGAGAAAAAATCATAAAAATTAGTTTAAAAATTTATTTCATTATGTTAGCAAATAGAATTTGACCAGAATTAATTATTATAACGATTTTCACCTTTTATCTCTATATTTGGTATAATTAAGGGGTAGTAAGAATGAAGAATTATCAATTGATAACATATCTCTTAGTGAGACAAATTTCTTGCAATAAAAAGGTAACAAAAGTGGAGATGCTGGAACAATAATTATTGGAAGATTGGTGGCTGATAACAAAACTGGGCAAAAGTCAGAACCAACAGTGCTGTGTAAAGACGAATAACAGCATCCATGCAAAGTCACTATGCGATTGGAAGAATCTGAATTTGGGCAATCATCAGCATACAAATTATATCTATATTTGGAAACTGGCTTAAATTATGTGGAATAATATTTATGTTCTCAGAAGGATTGGGAACCCTGAAGATGACAATGATTATTCCAAATAGTTATGTTGGAAGAAACTTCTACATTTATTGAGATCCAAAACTGTCTTGGACTGATGCACCATACATCTGCTTAGGATAAAAAGAGGAATCAATCTTGATGCTCACAAAAAACATGCAGTGATACAGTAATGAAATCAGCAACAGAAAATCTAAATTTAATTACTGGATGTACAACAGATTATCACGACTTGCTCTCATGATCTTATATGCATAGGGTTGAGAATATTCTTAGGAATTAAACAGATGATGCTTTATTAAGATTATCAGGAGTACTGACAGATGTATACCTATGGGACCAAAGATTCCTACAGAAGTCAAGGTGTCTGCCTGATGCTTAGTAATCCTACTGCTTATCTATTCTGTGGATTTTCTTATTATGGAATTCAAAGTGGAACGAACAATGCCACTTCCCTCCTTCTCCTACCTTCATCTTCAGCTAAGACATGCAAAGGATAACAACTAGCTGACCATTGAAACTCTTTTAACTGTTACAACTTTTAGATTACTATCCTCTAACAAGCCAATGCCACATATCCATGGATTCATTGACAACACCACCTTTAACTACCTTTTGACAATACAAGACTATGAAGTCTATCAGGAACAATTTATATATGGAAAAGAAGAACAACAGCTATGGGCAAAGGGAGAACCCACACCATTTGCACTGATCCTGGAAGGAGAAGACATTAGGGCATTCCTCTGTCTCAGACTCACCAGGTACTGGGTCATTCCATACAGCACAACAGTCCTCTCCATCATATCAAAAAAAAAAAAAAAGTGGTCTCCCAGTACATTGGATCACAAGAAGGAGAGAGTCCATGATTACATCCAGGAGGAGGCAAAAAGTTTATCATCCCACATTACAGAGCATATGCCAAGTACATTCAGTGGAAGTATGAACAAGACTATAGAGATGGGAGGAGATATTAATATGAACTTTTGGGAGCAGTCCAATGATATTCCCTCAAACAACAATTACTGCTCTATGGTAATACCAAGTTTGCCAACAAATTTCAGCAAATCATCTGCTGGAATAGAGTCATCACACAGAAGTTTGAACTTTCCATCTACCAGTAACTTAGGGACAGAAGAATGTACCCATAATGCAGAAACTGAGGAATGGGATATATACATCAACGAGAATGATAACAATGTGTCACAGCCCACAGCCGACGAGGTAGAACAGATCCTAGAAAATCATATACAGGATTTTTGAAGAAGTATGGTGAAGTTGAACAGAAAAAAGTGGTGATACATGAAGAAATGGTGATACAAGGAGAAGATACAGCTGTGGCAGATAGAGCAGAGTTAGAAATATATATAGGAATGGTACAGGATTGCATGAAGTGAAAAGGTGGAAATAGAGTGATTTATGTCAGAGAGAATTATTACAAAGAGGTCAAGAATTATCCCCAGATGATAAGACACATAGAATCTATACCCAAAGAAAGAATCATAGAAATAATGGGTTTAAAGATAGAAGTTACAAATTTAAGAGTCTTTCATAGTAGATTAGTGAATATGTACAGAAAGATAATAAAAAGGATACTGAGGAAAGAGAAAAGTTTTCAAGTTAAATTAGATATTTAAACTAGAAATCTTTTTCTTTTTTTTAAATTAGGGGGAGATGTAAATAGCTGATTTTGCTATTTACTACAGTATTATTTAATTGGTCAAAAATTCACTCCCATGTATTTTGGATCAGGTGACAAGTTGGTAAAACCCATGTATTCTGTGGCACTTTGTACAACTTAGATTTCAAACAACAACTTGATCACTTGATTGTAAATAGTGATAATTTGCGAGTAGATGTCTGGGAGGGAAATTGAGTACTAAAGGGATGAATATGAATAGTGATATAAAATTCATTATATAAACGACCTTTCTCCCAGGCAGAAAGAAGTGAGTTGGCTGCTGAGGATAAAACCAAAGTGGAACAGCTGCCCTGGGGTGGTTTCATCTCTTGTAATAATAAAATATTAATATCTGTTATCAATTATTGGAAATGTTGTATTATTTTGTTCTCTACCGATACTTTGATGTAAGAATTCCCTAGCGACTAATAAGGCATGTTACAGAAATAATTATTTCGTTATAAAATCATGGCAACTAATAAGCAGGGCATGAGAAGTATTCAGCTATTATATTATTCTCTGAATTGACACTTTGCATGTAAGTTCTTTGCAATTAATAAGACAAGTGGCAGAGTATCCATTTATCGATGCTTTGTGGTAATATCTTGGCAACTAATAAGGGAAGCATGAGAAGTGTTCAGTTTAGAAAGATTGCGATTATAAGACCTTATGTTTAATACAGGAAAAAGCATTCATAATAATAAAGATGATGTATAACACCAAGAGTTTAATATACTTGTTAGAAGGTTATTGTGAATCCATCATTATTGTCCATTTATCATTATTGTAAACACCATTATTGTGAATTTATCATTATTTTGTTTAAGTTAAAAAGATTATTTCATCAATGAGGGGGAACCTATGCCAAAATGTTAGTAGAGTATTGGAGCCATAGAGTGTGATAGAGACACAAAGCAGAATGCAGATACTTTTGATGAAAATCCAATTGGAGTATTACAGTGGAAAGAGAAATATTAATGTTGAGGCTGAAATTAACCTTCATTAATGAGAGAATCTACGATATAATGGGTCATAACAATAATGTAAGTCATTCGACCCCTTGGACTGATTACATAACTGGCAAAGATATCATGAACATTATTATGTAATTATTTGTAGATCAATGATCACATGAATTGCATTTAGAGAAACACTCATATAGAGATAGGGCTGAAAGAAAGCTTGCAATTGCAGAACATAAAACATGCACTTATCTCTTAAGTCCCATCATGGGACCAAGCAATTGTTGTGCATTTAGAGAGGTCTGACTGTACATACCAAACAATCCTGATACCTGGTCTTGACTCAAAAAGGCTCTCAAAAAAAAATAGAAGCATCTTCCTGTCCATGTATTCTCATCTATGCTTTTATTGCTATAATATACATTTTCAGAATTTCAAATATAATAATAAGAATGTACAGTCTATTTACAATGATTGCTGCATTGGTGACAATGGTAGGGGCTGTAGGAGGCATTGTGTTGTCAAAAATGTTAATGTGCTCAAACAGTTTTCTTGCTTCTTCTTCCACTAACTTGGCTATCTGCACCATGTCAGTGGGAGTAATGATGCTGTAGAGAGTGATTGTTGCTCTTTCAGGAAGTGCACATCCTTGGCATCAATCATGCAATCGAATATGGCAAATTCCAGTCAGTGTAAAGAAATTTTATATTCATATATTGGTGATGTGAAAAGTGATTGCTGGATTTCAATTGACCCAGTCAGCAGTCACAAAAAAACACAATGAAATAGGATTATGTTATTATTTATGTAGAAGTTTCCGTGTGTAACAAAAAAATTTTTTTTACATATTATAAAATGCGTGTAAAATGCCAAGTTCTGTAAACAATCTACAACGCGTTTTTATAAAACAAATAGTGCCTTCTAACACATTTGTAAACAGATTTTCAACTGACTTTATTCCCGGAAAAAGTATTACTTAATGTCATCATTTATTCAAAAAAGACAATGCCAAGTCATATTACATTTTTGGACACAAGGCATAACCAATACAAACAAAATTCAAAATTAACTAATATTCCCATCGCCACTATTTGAAAAAAATTAAATCCAAAAAGAAAGTGGATGTCCTCAAAAAAATTGATTCCTGTCTATCCAAACATTGGCAATAAGTTACTAGAAAGTGACACCGATGGCTAAGTTATATTATAAAAATAGTCTTCCCTTAGCAGAAGGAAGCTCAGGTGGAGGGGGGCTAGAAAAACTTAGAGAATACTATATTTTCTAATGAAACTGCCTTCCAGCTGTTCTGAAACACAGAAGACAGTGGTGGAAAGGAGAGAGACTAACTTGTTGTCTTCCTAAAGATTGAACAAAGATTTTAAAATTCTCCAAGAATTCGATAGTTGACATTAGTTTCAAATGCTAAATTCATATTTCGATGGTTGAAGACATTGTCTTGATGATAGAAACATCAAGCAAGTTATCATATGAATCAGATTGTCATAATAAAAATGTATGCAGAGAGAATAGTGTAAAAAACTATAGCAACAAAATAATATGGTATAACCATATTTCTTACACACTTCTATCTAATAATTCGAGGCACATACATTATTATGGGATTAATGATCAAGTGATAACAGCAAATATGATACACAGCTGGTTGGTAAACGACTTGTCATGCTAAGCTGAAATAATATATTTAAGTATAGTCGTTTATGAAAATGCCAGCTTGTGTTTCAGAATTTAACTATAGAACTGCATGAAGTATAAATACCTAATAATGTAATATTAACATTATTCAATAGTCATTTGTCACGACATAACATCTATTGGCCTTCTAGGAAGTATTTTTTAAGGATCTAATATAAACTTGCCATAACATCATTGTCAAGAAATTGATTCTCTGATAATTATACTCCATGTGTGTCAGAGGAAAAAAAAAGATCAAATAACATTCCGATCAGTAAGCAGTATTATCTCAATATTTAAAAAAAAAATAATAGTGAGTGAGCGAAAGGTTCGTATTGTAATAAGCTTATTTCGTTTTGTTGAATAATTATGTGAGAACTATGGGATTGAGTATTATGATACACCATGGTTGTTAACATATATGTAATAAAATGCGTTGCGTTCATAGATTAACATAAATTCCAATCTGACATGCGACAGAGCAAGCAGAGGTACAATAAAGAGCTTGGCCAATAAGCCTGTAATAAGAAAGAGCCCTAACAGATTTTCAATCCTGTTATACTTCTTTCTTGCTTGATTTTAGAAAATAAAAAAAAGTTACATGGACCAATCCAGGCTTGACTCGTTCTTGCTTATAACTTTAAGATGTGCGATGAAGCGCGACATTGTCATCACACTACGGGCGGTTACTATTTCCTTTAATTTCTTTGTATCTAAGAAGAAGAAGATAGAATTTGATTAATCTGAAGCTAATACTAACTGGCTTATATATTTTTATAAGCATATTGTGGATATTTTCAATATTTTTTTCCAAAAGTTGCTTCACAAAGTTAAGGGCAGTCTCTACCATCATTGAAAGTTTTAACCAGCTGTCAAACTGTGCGTAATGTTAGCACTTTATGTCTACAAGGTTTTATTAATTTTTCATTAATTTTACTAACATCTGTCGCGTCTTGCCATTTTAGAATCGATCGTCGGTATTGTTCACGTGACGTGAAATTCAAGCCATTGGTTTCGATGAACGAACTTTGAAGATCAGAACTTGAGTTTTATTCCTTTGAATGCTCAGTAGTTATCTTCTGTTGGTGTATTATCGAAAACCGTTTGGCCGAATAGGATACTAATACATTTTAACGGTTATTATAAAAAAAATACTGTTTCATATTCTTACGCTATTTGTGAATTAATGCCCTGCCACTATTTGCTTAATCATCTACAACTGAAGAGGCATGGACAAAAGGTATTTCACCAGCAATTTCATAATTTACTTTTTATACATTTTATAATACTTTTCGAAGGCTTAATTAAGTGGTCACATAACAATTAAATCTAAAAATTATCCGATTGACCATACTATAACCAATTAGCAATCTTTCACGCGCGAATGAATTAACTATCAACTTCTAAAGTTTATCGTCTATGAATTAAAATTAAATAATAATAGCAATGTTCTCGAGAATTTTGACTTGTGGTTGATGTCAGAGATTATCTTTCCACAACCTGGACCAAACCCCCTTGTCCTCTATTGTATTTTCTATCAAGTTACTTGGTCGAATTATTCAGTCTGATGGCGGCGATTCAAATTTTGTTTGATCGTGAAGTGGGTCGTAAAAAATCGACGAGTCCGTACGAGCTTCATTCTGACTGTACGTAGTTATTGTCCTCACGACTCTGATCATCACTATAAATGCCGCTGTCTATAACTATATCTATTTCTGCAGAGCCCTTATTATTAGTAGTAGTATCATTGTCAATCCAAACAATACTCTTCCCTTTATCACCACTCCTTAATATATCGTCTTCTGCTGTATCTTCTCTTTTTTTGCCAATGGCAGTTTTCAAAGGGTTGCTTCCTCCCACAGCCTCCCTCCGAAGTAAATCAGCCAATACATTACTGCCCGTACTTGGTTTGTTCGAGCCACGTTCCT